CAGCTTCAATATAGGACAGACGAAAATTTCGCTGGTTTTAAGGTAGAACACGGATGGACCAACTACCTCATATTTCGTGTATTTTTGGAGTAGTTTCACATGCATTCCTCGTCGCCGCTCTTATCAAAGATCCGTTAAAATGCTTCAAAAACACAGGAACATATCTCGTCGGAAATTTGGCTGTAACTGATTTTTTCGTTTCTCTCCTGTCGCCGCTCGACGAGTGTTGCATGATACCAAAAAATCCGCTGTGGCTGAGGCTCAGAAACTTCGTCGTGTATTCTTGCACAAATGTGTCCATTTTAACCATCGCATCGATTTCACTGGATCGCTATTTCTTGATTCTGTATCCTTTGAAATATCGAGTTTTGATGGGACGAAGAATTATAATCATGTGGCTGGCTGGTGTTTGGCTTCTTGGTTCTGCATATCCAGTAAAAGTTTTTATTCTCTCCCTTAAAAACGACATTGATATACACGTATGGACTCTTGGCGAAATTTTGCCCATCCTATTTTCAAGCCTGGTCTACGGATTAACATACTACAATTTAAAGAAATAGTCTAAAAATGTCGCTTTAGAAAACATTCCACAACGACAACAACAGGCGAGACTTTTAAAAGAGAAACAATTTTTGAACACAATCATCATTATAGCGTGCATTCAGTTCATTTCCATCGTTCCCAACACTGTAGTTGGTTATCATCCTGTGTTCGAAAAAACTATCGACGACGGCTTAGCAGTTAAGATAATGAAGGAGATCTTTCATTCGTTATTCCACTTTAACTTTTCTGTTAATCCACTGGTGTACGTACTGCGTTTACCAAACTATAGAAAAACATTTTATTTGTTGTATTGTTGCCCAGCAACACGACATTAGACGACACATGTTGCTCTTGGTGTTTAACTGAAAACTTTGTACATTCACATTTTACAGCAGCGAGTTCTAAATTATAGTAATACTTAGCATTACGTTTAAGCATAAACACCCGGTAAATAAACTGTTAACGTTACGTTCATTTTCAAATGCTTCAAAAAATTTTGAAGGCATTTTTAACTGACTTATATAGATGATGCATTGCTGTAATATTTAGAACACTAAGCTTTCCTTTCATTAAAATATGTTATAATATGTTATATTAAATGCAATTTTGAGTTTTAATATTCCCTATGGGACTGTGCATGTTTGTAGACTTCCTGACTGTGTATATATTCCTTTTTGCTTATTTAAATAAAGTCATCAATAAAAATTTAAACAGTACGATCTATGAGTATACTTTAGTCACTGAAAATGTGTTTCCGCATTCCCAAAGCAATGATAAAATTTCTACAAGGTTACTAATTTTATACACAGCATGAGTGTTTGAGTATATACATGGTAGGGATTGTGATATTGTTGGGTGGCAGGGTATCAACTGAAATAAAAATGTCAAATGAACGCGTTAAAAGACGGCTTTTGCATTCGAGTTTTCAATCAAACAAATAATCCAACGTATATAGCGCAGGGTATAACTAAACTCAAGTACGAAACATTCAAAGCAGACAGCGAGAATAGAACAGACGGGAATTTTATAGAACAAACTGAAAATTTTTTCAAGGTAGAACAGATGGACCAACTACCTTGTATTTCTTGAATTTTCGGATTATTTTTAATTGCAATCCTTATATAACTGCTCTCATCCAGAATTTTCTAAACTGTTAAAGACAAACATCTCCGACAGAAAGTCAAATGAATTTTGATGCAATCTACTCGGTCACTTGAATATTGATGCAGTCTACTCGGTACATTTGTTTTACGCTCCTGATTGTCACTTACGTTCAAAGCCCATAAATATAAACCCCAGGAAGACGATTTATAAAGGCCATTTAAGAACGAGTCTTTGCATGGGATGGAAGATTGACAATATATAATTACATCCTATATAGGAGTGCTTCTTCCACAAAAACGTGTGTGTGTGTTGTTTTGCGCAGAAAACCCGCATGTTAGTATTTATTAGAAAGGCTTTGATGACATTAATCAAAGTTTGAATATTATACCCGTTCAAAAACCCATTTGATGCTAAAGCAATGGTGGAATAGCCCTTGATATTCGCTTATGTCTTAGCAAAATGACATAACCACCAAGCTCAAATACGAAGGAACCATGAATTCTTACAGCAAAAACGAGATCAGCAAAATAGACTTTATGTGTTTGAAAACATACCTTGGTGTGTTTTCAAACACATCTTTTTTTAGAGTGTGCACCTCGATGCTTTTTAAAACACATCAGAGCTTAGAGCATGTTTATCGCGTTTCTATTTTCCCAGTCAGTCAAGAACTTTATCCCTGTTTTTTTAAAATAAAGGTTGCTTGATAATTTTCATGATCGTTTACCATTTTTCATTTTGTATAATATTATAGTTTATAAAACGATTTTACGAGATCTTTGCGAAATGACAATTACCTAATTTGCTGACGTTCTCATTTAAAATATTGTCATGGGAGTAGGTGTTTGCAATGAGTGGAAAAGGGCGTCACAAAATATATTGATCATTTTCAAATGCTAGAATACATTTGAAAGCATTCTTTATAAAAAGTTACAACTTTGGTTTAATACATTAAAAACTGTCTTTCCAATTAACTATTTTATATTAAAAACTAATTCTAATCAGTATTGTATAATTGAATATTGCTATGTTTTTACTGATTACTTGAATATGTAGCTTACATTTTGTCCGAATATCTTGATCATGCATGCAGTCATGACCTATTCATAAGAACAGAAGGTTTCTGACTGAATATTTTGTAAATTCTTATTAATTATTGTAAAATATTTTGTAAAACGTTTTCTTAAAACCTTGTGAATAGTTTTTGGAGTGAATATCCACAAAGTAATGACAGAGAATCGCGTACTATTCTTTGTTTGCAATCACGTGATCTACGGAAATTTGATTTTCATCTGACGGGCAAGTTTAACAAATATGGCGGCTGTTGTGTGCTTTGGGAGATATTTTAAAATCCAAAATGCCGGATTGCTGTTCGGTTTATCTATGTACCAACCGCTCGAACAAGAACAGGGATAAACGCTTCTTCAGAATACCTAAAGAAATCTCGCACAGAGGAGACAAAACAAGAGATATTTCAAAAAGACGTCGAGCTAAATGGCTTGCCAACCTGTCGTTGGTGACGAAAGGAGTTGAGTCTCGACATGCTCGTGTATGCAGCGACCATTTTGTTAAAGGTATTATAGCCCATAAATCTAGTTCATCAGTTGTTATATTTACTAGTGTAATTGCTTGTACACAACTCTTCTCATCTGATGTTTAATGAAGGTATTTTAAAATACTTATATATAGTTACTGTATTATGTGTACTTGTCATTGGAAATCCTACTCCCCTACCCTGGAGAAATGTAGAGAATTAGCCTTTTGTAAGTTTTCCAATGACAAGTGCATTCTAAAAGCTACAAAAGCACTCCCAGTTATCCAAGTGAACTATTTGATGAAGAAGATATTGATTGGGCACCAACAATTAACCTTGGGCATCAAAAAGTGAAACCGACTTCAGAATGTGCTTTGAAAAGGCGGAAAAGAGCAGTTGAACGAGAAGAGAAGCGACAACAAAATCAGGCAGCCCTTGCTCTCCTGTCTCTCCAGAATCCTCCACTTCCAAAGGATGTTAATGACTTATCAAGTATGGGTACATACTGTTAATGCAAATGACATTAATATTTTACATTATGATTTTGTTAATTTTCTACGAGTATCTAATTTATATCATAATGTATACTTGAACAGATAAATCATTGGAAATGTCACAGATCGTGATGGCCCAACTGTTGTACGCACGAAAGAATGCCAAACATATGTTACTGCTGAGTCGTTGGAAGAAAGAGATAAAGAATTGGCTGAGAAAAAGCTTGAGCTACTTGACTTACAGGCTAAGGTCTCACTTACTGGACTTTCGAAGGAGGAATTTGCAAAGAGTGAAGCAAAGACCAGATTTTATACAGGTCTACCTAACTTTTTGGTACTGTTACAGGTGTTTAACCTTTGTGAAGCTTGGATATCTCACACTGACAGGTCAGCACTAACTAAATTTGAACAACTTATCTTGACTCTTATGAGACTAAAACTTAATCTTTCACTCCAAGACTTGGCATACAGATTTGGAATATCCACTGCGACAGCATCTAGAGTTTTCAAGAAATTGATATCTATTTTGCACTTGAGACTTCAGTTTCTGATTGAATGGCCTGAGAGAGAAATACTTAGGGCTACAATGCCCATGGATTCAGAAACACTTTTGGAAACCAAATAGCTGTAATAATAGATTGCTTCGAAGTATTTGTAGAGAGACCATCTAACTTATTAGCCCGTGCTCAAAGTTGGTCAAACTATAAGCACCACAATACTGTTAAATTTCTTATCGGTATTGCACCTCAAGGTATATTACCTTCATATCAGATGCTTGGGGAGGAAGAGTTAGTGACAAACATCTAACAGAGAAAAGCAAAATTCTTCAAAATCTTCTCCCAGGTGATGTTGTACTAGCAGATCGTGGATTCAACATTGAAGAGAATGTTGGGCTCTACTGTGCCTCTCTTAAAATACCAGCCTTCACAAAAGGAAAGTCACAACTAACACCTTTTGAAGTGGAAGAAACCCGAAAGATAGCTCATGTCCGCATACATGTGGAAAGAGTTATTGGGTTAGTAAGGCGCAAGTTTCAAGTCCTTCAAAGTAGAGCAATGCCCACCGAATTTTGCACACACAGCCTGGAGAACAACATTCATTGATTGACAAGATTGGAGTTGTATGTTGTGCTCTGACAAACCTATGTCAATCTGTGGTTCCATTGGAGTAAGAATTATTAATGAAAATCTACCTTATGTAAATAATTATATTAAAAATATTTAGCAGTGTGATATAACTTAAATATCAAGAGTGAGTATTTATCTTTGTTAGTTAAATTTATTATTTAAGAATATTAAACATACATTTGTATTTATAAATTTGTGTACAAAATGATTACAAATCTTAAGTTATTGTGATATTTACTCCTCAGAATTTTTTAGCTCAAGGGCAGAAAATGGTTTAGAGAAAAATCTCCCTAATACTTCTGGCAGGATACACTTTCTAAAGAACAACTCTGCCTTAGGTACAACACTATCCCAAAATACAATATCTGGTAGGACTCGTTCTATGTAAATGTCATTCTCATTCCATACTATAAAATCACAATAATCAATTTCCATAATGTGAATTTGTGCTTGAATTTGAAAGTAATAGGCATGGTTCTTGTCCAGCTGTATACCAGTTTCACTTTTGACCAGACAGAATCCCTTGTCACCTGCACAATCTACCAGGTTTTCCTTCTTCTTCTTGCAAAATGGACACTATACAGTGAGTGAAAAGATTGGAGTGATTTACATTAGAGAGGGTGACCTTACAATGTATTCAACCATCCCTAATGTATATATGCTTTTAAAAGAATGAGTTGTATACCTTTATTTCACATGCTCCAATACCACAACAATCACACATGACCACCCCATCTGGTGTTGCACCCATAAATGACCATTTAAGGTTCACTCTTAACCCACTTTCACATACTGAAAATGTTTCATGTTGTTGGCACATGACACTTTCATACTTTTTCCTTGCAATACCCTCATGATTGCAACCATATCTAAAGGAATAAAATGCAAAATTATCAAAATATAAAATCAATACATTACAATAAAAAATTCTTGTTCTGCAAATAGTTATACCTGGTAGCTTCACTTGAAAACCTATATGCTTCTGGATAGCATATAGACTTAATCAACGACTTTGATGGTTTTTTTGGATTTGTTCGGACAACAGATTTAAGTCTTGATGCTGTGATTCGACCAGCTCTATGTGTAAACCATAGTTTTGAGTTGCTTTGCCTCCTGGTTTCTGCTTCTAAGACAGCTACTTGTTTTGCTGTTATTTTTAATGTTAGCTTCTGGCATTCATTCATTAATTGGTTGTGGTCAAGTTTTAATGATTCTTCTGATCCATAGCTCATAATAGGCTTTGGTAATACCTCAGTGGCTGACATAGGTATAAATGAGGAATAATAGAGTCGTTTTGACATTAAACAGGCACTTTTGGGAAAGTTCTTATTCAGGGTTTTAAAGAACTCATGGTATTCCATTGATCCATGTGCAACTGTGGGGCATGGTGGCTTTGGTTGTTGTATTAGGGGATGACTTTCCACACATAGCATTATCCATCTTTTGTTTTTTGCCTTTGCTGAGGATAGGTCCATTGTTTTGACTGATGCAGGTTCGATCTGCAGAAAAACATACAATACAGCTTAGTACTATTCATGTGCACTGCATATATAATGGCAATTTGTTATTTAATCTACATGCACTTCTCTAACACTATAATAATAATATTGCTGTTATGAAGCAAACCTTTTTCATAGGTGCTGGCATCAACCACTTGCTTTTTTCCATCGTACAGGTAATAGTTTCACGTGTCCGCACTGCTGTTTCAATGAAATATAGCACTGCTGCCTACATGAGAGCAAGACTCTGCCAATCTATATATGAAACAAATGTTTTAACCTTGTGTTTAATAATACACTACTGATACTTCAAACTCACTAATTTGCAAACGAAATTTATAGATTTTACAAACCCTGCCATGCAATTGCAATGTCCTGTCAGTACTTCACCATCTTCCTTCATTATCACCCAAGTCTTTAACGGTGTTTCTGTAGATCTCTGGGAGTGATTAACCTGTTCAAAACAAAAAAAAATTTGAGCAAATGAACCAAATTATACAATATAAATTAAATTCCTTAATACTTAAAACTGTACGGTACCCTTGCCATTATTAGTTGGTTCCCATCCTTTAATTTCTTTATACCAGTGCCGTGTACCCATCCACATACAAAAAAGTTGTACGCCTCAAGACTCTTGAAAGCCTTCATCTGCTGTTTTGAGTAAAAGGACGTTTGGATAACGAGATAATTCGAGATATCTGGAAATTCCAGATTCGGTAGGTCCTTGAAGTCTGTGGAAAAACTGTTTTTATTCATAGCATAGGGATCTATACCATCACATAATGTGATCTTTTCAATGTATCTCGCTTTTACATTGGGTTCTAACTTGTAGAAATAATCTGATAAAGAAGAGGAAGTGGTCGAAGATGTCGAATGACTTGACTCTGGAGCAGCCGCCATATTTAACTTGCCTAAACTTGCCCGTCAGATGAAAATCAAATTTCCGTAGATCACGTGATTGCAAACAAAGAATAGCGCATAGATTGTGCTGGCAATTTAGGTATTAAATGGAAATGTCAATCAAGGTGCAAAGCGACAGCTTTTGCAGGTGTTTCAATCAAAATGAACTATTAATCCCATGCATGTAATGCAGACTATAATTATTTAAACGAGTGTTTCTCTCCGCAATTCACTGCACTAATGCTGGCTTCGATTTTGGTACGATGGGCCAAGTACCTCACTTTTCTTCTATTCTTGGTATAATTTCAAATACACTTCTTATCATTGCTTTCATCAAAGATCCTTTGAAATGCTTCAAAAACTCAGGGACATATCTCGTCGGAAATCTAGCTGTCACCGATTTCATGCTTTGTCTGATTTCACCGCTTGATGGGTGTTGCATGACACAAAGATATTCGCTGTGGCAGAGGCTTAAGAATTTCGTGAATTATTCTTTCACAAGAGTATCGATCTTAACGATCGCATCAATTTCACTTGATCGCTTCTTTTTAGTTCTGCGTCCTTTGAAACATCGAGTTTTAATGAGAGGAAAAATTATGGACATGTGGGTGGCTGGTATTTGGCTTCTTGGTTCTGCATATCCAGTAAAAGTTTTTATCCTTTCCTTTGAAAGTGACATGGACAAACACATATGGTTTCTTAGCGAAATGTCGCCAATCCTATTTTCAAGCGTGGTGTACGGATTAACATACCAGAAAGTAAAGAAACAATCTGAAAACGTGGCTTTCGAAAACATTCAATATCGACAGCAACAAGCGCGATTTATAAAGGAAAAACAATTTTTAAAAACAATTACTATTGTAGCGTGCATTCAATTCGTTTGCATCGTCCCTACGTCTATAGCCACCTATTACCCTGAGTCAATCGAAAACACAATTCATGATGGCGCAGCTGCTTGGATTCTAAAGGAGATCTTTCATGGGTTATTCCACTTCAACTTTTCTGTAAATCCCTTGGTGTACGTACTGCGTTTACCAAACTATAGAAAAACATTTTATTTGTTGTATTGTTGCAAATCAACACAACATTAAAAGATCCGAGCTGGCATCTGTGTTTCTTTATAGCAGGAAACACAGATTATCTTGTGCTATGGAGTTACAATACCGTCCAGAAATAACCTAACAAAAACCGCGGTTAACCAAGGTCAAACCTCAGACTGATCGCGGTTTAACCTCGGCCTAACTTGGTCTGACAGATATTTCTTAAGATCTTTTGATTGTTTTTGATATGATTATTGTGTTGTCGTTCTCAGCTGTTCATAACATTTCGTTCGGAAGCGAACGGCAAGCGCCATCGTATTTTTTCTTGCGGTCGTCTGCGCGGTTTCTTTTCGGTCGACCGCAACCGAACCGCAACCGAACCGCAACCGAACCGAAACTACAGTGTTAGGTTATTTCTGGACTGCACTATAATTTATAAAGTTTTTTATTTAATATGTTATATTGAAAAAATCCATCCTGTTTATTTGTATAGACCTATGAATAAATAAGTCAGCACTAAAATAACTTTTGCTTGCATGCATATTAATTATCATTTTTATGTAATTTAAATGCGTGTTATTAATAAAAATGCAATATATTTATTGTGTTTTGGTAAAGAAGACAACATTGGATGTTTTATACCAATTTTAGTGTATCCAGTGCTTTTTTCTGGAAATATATACTAAAATTATGAATAGTATCTCACCTTAACCGAGGTTAACTTATCAAGTGCGTTGTGTAAGTCTTCTCAGTCGTAAGACATATATGAGTATATAATAGCTAAAGTAAATAACTTATAGATCTTAGTTGCACTTTTAATTTAGCACCCTACAATAGCTACATGCATGTCAATAATAAACTACATAAATTTTGTTCTATTTGTAACAAGATGGTTCTGATTGGTGGTTTAGCATCTTTTTCATTAAATTTTACATGTGCTATAATTATTGTGGTATTCTTTCGATATTTAAACGGTTTATGAAGCGTTTTAATTTAAACGAAGCAAGTTGCTCTAAATGAAAACGTATGCTTAATAGACTCAATACGAAGTATTTAACGCATACTACGAAGAGCTACTTTAATAACTTTATAGATCATGGCAGAGGAAAAATTCGCTGGTTTTCAGATAAGTTATTTCGACATGCTGTCCTCTTTTGTTTGTATTGTTGGTGTAATATTACATGCGTTCCTCATTATTGCTTTCATCAAAGATCCTCTAAAATGCTTCAAGAATTCAGGAACATATCTTGTTGTAAATTTAGCTGCTTCAGACTTCCTGGTCTGCCTCATAACTCCGACAAAATGTTGCATACCCAAAAACTGGCACTGGGAATGGCCGAGGCACCTCGTTGTTTTCTCTTGCATGAATGTATCCATTTTAACAATAGCGTCAATTTCGCTTGATCGCTTTTTTTTGGTTCTGTGTCCTTTCAAACATAGAGCTTTGACGAAAGGAAAAAAGATGTTCGTGTGGTTGGCTTGTGTTTGGCTTGTTGGTTCGGCATTTCCCATAAAAAACTTTGTGTTTGCTATAGTAACTGACGTGGACACACACATAAGGATTCTTACCCAGATTTTGCCAGTTTTGTTTGCAAGTGTGATGTACGGGTTAACGTACAACAAGTTAAAAAAACAGTCAAAAAATTTAGCTCTAGAGAACATTACAAATCGACAGCAACAGGCGCGAATTATGCAGGAAAAACAATTTTTGAGAACAATTATTATTGTGGCGTGTATTCAAGTAATTTGTGTTGTGCCTTCGACGATATTCTTTCACATGAAGGTGTTTCAAAAATTGTTTAGTGATGACCTAACTGTTGAAGTTTTGAATGAAGTATCTTCTGGAATATTCCACATCAACTTTGCTGTCAATCCTCTGGTATATGTACTACGCTTACCAAACTATAAAAAAACATTTTCTCAACTGTACTGTTGCAAAAGGAATACAATTACAGCAATTTAAAGCCTGTCTTTGGTTCTTGAACAGTGACAGTGTTATTTGATTTCATTCATTGTTCATTGTTATTTGCTGAACCAATCACCAATCAAGAGTGGCAATATAAAACTGAAAAGTTTTATATTGAAAAGTAAAATTACTATTTCATATTTTCCAACGTGTCCAAATACACGCTGAATAAATCGACAATGGTTTGTGTTAATGAAAATGACCAGAATGATAATTATATCAAAATTATGTGGAATTGATTGTAGTTTTTGGCTAAAACCACGCATTATACTATAGTACATTTTGTATATTGTGATCGTTTATTTGTACGTGTCAATCATTGACAGCATTCGTGGTTTTATCAGTTGTTCGCAGAACAATTAAAGAATTTTGTGCAGGAGAAAATATCAGCATGAGTAGAACTTAAATCGTTTTTAAAGAATAGTGAAACAAGATACTCTTAACTGAGTGTGAGGTATCGCCGGCTTCGACTCCATCCAGATGTATATCCTGCGATACTACCTCACCTTTGGCGAATAGCTGTTAAATCTTGTTTATCAAATGTAAAAAAAATAGTAAACAGAGATTTAATTAGAAATAAAATATTCTCTAAAAATATGCGAGGCATAAAAGTCAGAGAAATTTTTGAGTGACGAGTGTCGCATGCATGTATACTAATTTGCATTTCGCCCATACATAGCAGCCTTCAATTTTACATAACACACAGACACAGTAAATGTACCGGTACATTAACTTAAAATGAATAAAATCGCCATTGCCCTAAGCCCAGGCTTTTTTGCCGACCTCTGGGTCAATAGTACATCCGTTTCGCACCACCGATCGAATGGTTATCAATCATATGCTTCTAGTTCTAGTTACTATCCTGTACGGCGTTTTGTTATGCCTGTACTATATACTAAGTATTAAGTACGAGTATTGAGTCGGCAACTCGGCGATTTGATAACCCGACAAAGTCGATTTTTTTAGATATATACAGGTTTACAACAACGATAACATCAGGTCTGTTGATAGATATTTTACCTTTGGTAATCATTGTGATTTGTGTCTCAAATATAAGAATCCGGGGCTTCTTATCTGTCCCATCTTTGATCGAAACCGCGAACAAAAAGAAATGAGACTCATTCACAGTCTTTGCACTCTTCGTCTTATAAATGAATAACTACCTTTCATTTATTTCACTTCATTTCACCCTCTGTAAATACATGAATTACATGCTATTATGTTGTTTACAACAAAACACATTGCAATATGGCTCCTTCGCCAAATCAGGCCTCCTTGTTTGCTGGCTGTCTAGCCTGCAATTCAGGCGTGAAAACTCTAGGGGAACGGAATATGGTATTATAACATTTTATATTTTTTGTTTTACGTTGGTTTATTTTACCACGTGTTTTGACGTCAAACATATGCTCTCGGATTTCGTTTCTTACTACATTTTCTAACGAAGACCAATTGGTCGAAATGTCGAAGTATTTTTGAAATTTTAGGTACTTGTTATCTAGTGGAATAAATTTTGAATTAAAAATATGTTATTAACAGAGTTATTGGTTATGGATTTTAAAAAACATTTTTAAAAAAACACCATTGCGAAGGCAATTTAGATCTGTAGTAGGAATCACAACTTCTTGTCACACCATATTAGATGCAACGTCGTCAGACGCTGTACGCAGTACTCTACTGGATCCTTTGTCATGACATAAGGATAGACAACACGTAGCTATTTAGTGATTTAAATTTCAGCCCGGGCTGGAATTTCAGTTTGAGTTACCCGGGAAACTTCAGCCCGGGCTGAAACTTAATGTTGCTGTCATGTAAACGTAAATAAACTTAGACCCGGACAGAAAAATTCGCCTTGACAATGCTTTTTCGTTTGCTTATTTCATTTTATGTGCAGTCATAGTCCTTTTAAGGTCCAATTATTGTCATTCAGGATTTTAAAGCCCTCGAAGAATCGAAATAGGTCTACTACCAGCCTTTACAAACTCAGCCCGGGCTGAAATTTCAGCCCTGGTCTTACAATAATTCTGACGTGTCATAACAGAGCCCGGGTTGAAACTTGCCATGTAGTTGAAAAATATTTTGGCCCCAGCGAAGTTTCTTTCTGTTTTGCTACCGTGTTATCGCGCAGAGTTGGGTCTTTTTAGGTAAAAAATATGATTCCTTCTTAGTGTCATAAAATAATTACCACAAATTTAACCGGCTGCATGTGTGAGATTCCGCTGTATTTCCCTGATGAGTTTTTCAACTAGAAATTCTCCCTGTCTGCCCAAAAAAGGTATTCTAATCCAAAAGTCCTCAATGTTCATAATACAAGTCCATGTTTTTAGCCGTGCCTTGCCAAAAAATTGACTGTAGCGTAGTGACGAGATTATATGCCATGTTACTGCATGATGTCACTATTTATTATAGCCATTTTTAATTTTCATATCCATACAATTATCAAGTATAGCCAATTGTAAATTTAATCTACTTTTAAAAGAGAGATTTACAGTAAATATTCAGAGGAAATTTGATAAAATTTTCACTCGTTATCTGAAAAACATGCATGCATGGGTTATTGAAAATATCGATCCGTCACGTCGCGAGTCACGTCCATGCAGTGTGTGGGGGCGTTTGACAGACAGAATGACGCCGATACTCAGCCAAATTGCATTGTTATTATTTCATTTATTCCCCCCCTCAATACATTATATGCATTTCATCGCATTTCACTGATCTCAAAATAGTCAGTAGAATAAAAATCACTGTAGAACAAGTTCCGGGTATATACGTACGAAACCTAATGCATTGCGCTTCAGCTCGAACATCAAAATTTGGGACTTGTGCGGAAATGAAACTATGAAAGTGGCGCAGCTTGCATCAATAATTAGGGGCACAAATTAATTTATTATTCATTTTGCTACTGGAAGGACAATCGTTTTCAAAAGGAAGGAATTATTCATGCATATCATAGCAGGCCTCAATTAAAAAATAGATAATGAATAATAATGAAGCTTAATGAGGTTTATCATATCATTATCTATTGTTTTAATTTCATTCGACGCGACGAAAATACGTCCAATTTCCAAATAATTAACTTAGGCCTTTAAACATACATCTATTCTATGCTAATATATTTCACACAATTACATAGTTTTTATACTTTCGACAGTTAGGAAGTTCTCTCTTTGGCAATCCTTGTTAACAGCTGCATGCTTAAGTTACGCGTGGGTCATAAAACTTTCAAAGTTCTAGTATATAAATTGTGTGTATGAAGTATATGAATATGCACCTCCTCCTAGTCACATTGTCAACTGCTTTAATACTTTACAATAAGGCCAATACTCATAGTCATATTGTCAGAGAGACTTAAGGATCACACACACCGGGCACGAAGGGCCAACTCGAAATAATTTTCACCAATTTTACATTTTCCAAAAGCAACTACGTTTGAATATGTTACGATGTCAGTCTTGACAAATAGAGTTTAGAGTTTAGAGTTTTATCAAAAAACCAAGTCTGAGAGGCAGCTAATAGCATTAGTCGATAATAAACTGAATATTATACTTTCACCACCTTGCTCAGTTGATTCAGAGAGACTAGTATAGACAAAATACTTCCATCTTTCTTTATGGTTAGAGGCTATATCATTAACCATGATGAAGAAAAGGAGGGGTCCTAGGATTGTACCTCGCGGAGCTCCTGCATTGGCCAAAGGCCAATCGGATAGTTTAGTGCCCAAACCGGTCTGCTTTCTTTGAGCCAGTTTATTAAGGGATTATCGACATTGAGCAGCTGGATCTTTTCAATTAGGATTTTACCTAAAATACCCAAGGATAGCACATTTTGGCAGCCAGGGGTCCATAGCTCTCAAAATTTTGTTCCAGAATTTAATTTATTTGTCTCAAAACACTGAAAATTCGCGTCGCGTTGGACTTACTCAGCCTCGCCCCGATAAAGAATTTAAGACCAACGCTGTCACATTTTTTTGAGACTTGTGGGGTTACCTTATATAGTACCTTACGGTATAAAATCACCCAAAAAGCATACCATAAGAAATAATGAAAATCGAAATGAAATTTCCAGTGGCGCAGCAAGCATCAAAAATTGAGGAGCACAATATTCATATTGTTCATTTTGCTGCTGCTGTAAGGATAATCGGTTTTAAAAAGAGCAGTGGCGTAGCCAGCCTGACGATTTAGTCATGCTACGCAAATTTTATGTTATTATAATTATTCATCTCTTTAGGAATTTATTGTTTTCGCAGTCAATGAACACAAAAATAATGGCATAGAACGACTTAATTATCGGGCTGGCTACGCCGCTGAAGTTGTTGATGAAAAGTAATTTGCCTATGTCCATCATCACTCGGCTCAAAGTAAGAGAAAAAGAACGAGGCATCACCTGGGATATTCAGTATACTTTTTACAGTTAGCAAGTTCTCTTTTTGGCAATCCTTGTTAACAGCTGTTTAAATCATGCGTAGATCATAAAACTTTCGATTCAAAGTTGTAGTGTATAAATTGTGTGTATAAAGTATATGAATATGCACCTGCCCCTAGTCACATTGTCAAGTACTTTAGTACTTTACAATAAGGCCAATGCGTTCGACACGACGAAAATGCGTCCAAATTCCAAATAATTAATTTAGGCCTTCAAACATGCATCTATTCTATGGTAATATATTTTACAAAATTAGATAGTTTTTTACTTTCTACAGTTAGGAAGTTCTCTCTTTGACAATCCTTGTTAACAGCTGCTTAAATTACGCGTGGGTCATAAAACTTTCCAAGTTGTAGTATATAAATTGTGTGTATGAAGTATATGAATATGCACCTCCTCCTAGTCACATTGTCTACTACTTTAGTATTTTAGAATAAGGCCAATACTCATTGTCATATATTGTCAGAGACTTAAAGATCACCCACACTGTGCGCGAAGGGCCAACGCGAAGCAATTTTCACCAATTTCACAGTTTCCAAACGCAAACACGTTTGAATATGTTACGATGTCAGTCTTGGTAAATAGAATTTAAAGTTTTCGCTCCGATAAAGAATTGAAGACCAACGCTGTCACATTATTTTGAGACTTGTTGGCTCACCTTATATAGTACCTTACGGTTTCTTACGGTATAAAATCACCCAAAAAGCATACCATAAGGAATAGTGAAAATCGAAATGAAATTTCCAGTGGCGCAGCTAGCATGAATAATTAAGGAGCACAATATTCATATTGTTCATTTTGCTACTGTAAGGATAATCGGTTTTAAAAGGAGCAGCGGCGTAGCCAGCCTGACGATTTAGTCATGCTACGCAAATTGCAGTCAATGGACACAAAAATAATAGCATAGAACGACTAAATTATCGGGCTGGCTACGCCACTGAAGTTGTGTATAAAAATGAAATTTGCATATGTCCATCATCACTCGGGTCAAAGTAAAAGAAAAAGAACGAGGCATCACCTGGGATATTCAGTCTGGACTGGACGTATTGTCAGTTGAATCAAGAAAAGCAAGTCTTAATATCTGCCTGTCTAAAGGTAAAATATATTACACTTTATTATGTTTTGTTTGAAAGTCATTTGCTGGGCTTGAATTTTCATTTTTAAATAACGCTTTTCACCCAGTGTTTCATTCACACACGTGTTTTTAATAGAACTCAACCAAATGGTTTTATACAAATTTTATTTCGATATAGATTAATTTTGTATAAATTCTCATAACATTATTGACAACGAACAATAAATTAAAAACGATTAACAACTGTTAAGACTATCAAACTCCTCGGGTAAATTTTACCTCATCTCAAGTGGACCAGACACATTAGGCACATATCTTCTAAAGCAAGTAAACGTCTATATATGTCTTAAAGATATTAAAGAAGAAAAGGTGTGCAACCAAGTGATCTTAGGACGGTATTTTGTAGTTTTATTAGACCTGTCTTGCAATATGCGTGTCCAGTTTGGCATACTTTGTTACATAATTTGTTACCAAAGTTTCTGACTGATGAATTAGAACATATTCAGCGACGTGCGTTCAAAATTATTGTTCCCCATTTGTCCTACTCCAAAAGCCTCGAAAACCTATATTTACCTAATCTAGAAGAGAGAAGGGAATTGTTACACTTCGGGTAAAATTTTTAATCTATTATCACAGCCTTTTGCCATATTGCGTACACAAATGAAACTCGTTTATAATGCTTTAGGTTTCTAACGATTAGTATACCTACTTGTGAATTATTATAATTCCATGTTATAGTAATTGTATTACCTAAGTATACATATAATTGTATATTTGTACTTTGCTCTACTATTACCAATCTTTGTAATGTAACTTGTGTTTTTCAGTTCGTTTTTGAACTGCCATTCATGCAAGTATATTATAATTTATTTAGTGCATGTTTTGTGGTTAAAATGAGTCCAATAAAGGGTCTAGTTCTCCATTATTTAAACACAGAAAAGGCTCAGGTTTTTGAAGGGGTTCTCTTTTAGCGTATTTAACATTTTTATAGTAAAGTATTGCTACCATTAATTATTTTGTTTATATATTATGCTGTAAAATATAAAGACGCGAGGCAGGAAATTATTATCACGCGTGCACTATAATGATCATATATCGGTTATATTATATATTTCCATGCATGTATAATACCCAAGAAAACTTTACACAATCAAGTTCTAATAAGAAATAAATTCTAAAGTAGTAATCTTTTAATATTCATTCATCCATGTTTCGACACCTAAATAGCAAAATCTTAAAAAGCTGAGGTTGGCTCTACAACAGGTATATTATTGGTCGTGTACTTGTCGTATATATAAAATTTTCGGAGAAAAAAAACATGTTGCTAGAATACTCACGGGCAACATTTCTTATTAAAAACGGTTTTGTTTTCGACTACAAAATGTTCTCATATTTCTTATCAGATCTAGAAAGTAATATTTCACGTTTCACAAGTGCGATAATGTCATCAAACTGAGAAAGCTTTTTGTTTAAAAGCTCATGACTTGAAATTGTGTTTGTTCAAATGCGTATTATAGACTCTGCATATTATGCATCCAACGGGCCATGATTAACTACATTTTTCCGGATCGCAAGACCAAAAGAACTCTGATACGGTTATAAGCCGAGCAGGAGAGGTTTAATATAGTATATTATGGTATTTTTGTTGAACAAAATATGTCACAGGAACTGTTTTTGTTCGGAGGTTTACGCTGGCTTCCCGCGTTGCAAAGTGAAATATTCTTATCGCCGGTTTCGTTAACGCTACCTGAGCATTTTTTCCTAATCTTCAGTTACATAATTACCATTCCACAGCATAATGTACGTGAAACACTAAGACAGTCAAGTAAATTATATTTCGAACATTTAATAAAGAAGCTAAAGATATCTCTAGAGCAGCTGACAAACATATAATTAATATATGAATAAATTACAACTATCTACAAGATATTATTTTTGAAGCGAACATCGATAGAATTATTGTTAGAAAGAGGAACTGTATACCTTGCATATTAAGAAATGGTTTAAGTTTAGAAAATTTAGAAATAAGGACGCTTTATCAAACAATAAATGTAAATAACATAAATAATCCGTCCATTAGAGATATTTGTCAATAAACTCTGAAGATGTGTTGTAGGTAAAAAAAGTCGTTAGTTTTTATTGAACGCTCCAAATATAATTTTGTTATGAGTTTTTCGTTATTGAACGATGCAGGAGGTTGTGCGCGGGGACTGATTCCACTAGGGATCCAATGATAGTGGAAACTTTCCATGCCCCGTGATACCTAAGGAATCAGACAATTGTCCCAAAATACACATTTTGACTCATGCCAGAAAACATATAATGAACTAGGGTAAACATTAATCAACAGGAATTACTCAAACTGAAAGTACTCAAGTTAGGTTAGTGGCGGATATTGTCACGAATAAATTATAACTTTAGTTGCTCATGTAAACCGGGCGCGATTTTCTCAGTTTAGTCTCTTTTCTTCGTCAAACAAGTGTGACTACATTCACTACATTTATATGATAGCAACATTTTTTCCGTCATTTCATAAGAATAGCCAAAATAGTTGCGTTGTAAATAATGTAAATAAATCGCGGTGCATATATTATATCTATGATGTGGATACTTCGACGCGTAAATCGATACAAAACAAAATACTTATAATCAATACTATACCGTCAAAATGATTTGATCGACTTGCTCTATGTATGTAATAAACCTTCCAAATTATATTTTTGTTCAAATAAATGCTCGTAATTTATAACATAAGTTGATAAATTGCGTAGATTCTGAAAGAATTGCTTGATTTTTTTCGCCGGGAATGTTTTGAAGCAACGCTCGTCGCTCCTCCTTTCTTTACATCGTGACAGAGCTAGAGGTTGGACAAGCAATTAGCAATTTGTCACGTGAGCTCTCGACCAATGAGATCGCTATATTTTCTCAACGCGTCTCAGAAAAATTTTGGCTAAAATTTTTGCATTATACTCGTCGCGAAATGAATGAAGAAAAAATATAAATATTTAAATTTTCGGGTAAATTTTCAAGTGCAGTTACAGAAGAAGTAAAGATCTAGTGGTTTCCGCAAAAATCTCAGAGGTAAATGTTATATTCTATCTGTTATATTGAAGCTCGAACTTGATCGACTCCCCGCGAATAGCCGACTTAGGTGTAAATCTGTTTACAATGCATGTTTAAAATAAAATATCTAGAATTCCCATGGTTCGATTTTCTTCATTCTTGGTAACTCGAAAGACAATCATATAAGCTTCAAATCAGCTTGAATGATCCCGGTGATCTCCAGGCATTTTCCGAGATATTGGGCGTTGAATTACTGTTGCCAAATCCTCGTTCGCGCAAATGGTGTCAATACTTTTGAGAAAAATTGCCCCTCTAGTTTGTGCTATTTTCAATATATTTTTTTAAAGTATCAAATTGCTTTTAATATCATTTCCGAGAGTTGTTTTAATGTTCTTTAGAACTCATATAACATTGCTGTTTTTGGTGAAGAGCGACTGGATCGTTTACATGTTTCAAACGAGCTTATCCTGGGATTTTTGCTTCATGATCAACAATTATTCCTCAACATGGTCAAATTCAGTGTGCTAACAAGTCCATTTTAATATAATGAAGTTTAGTATGGATTATTCAAATGGAATATAATATCTTCACAGAATACTGCATGGACAGAACAGTAACCAGTGCCTAATGAATTGTTGACATTACAATTATATACATGTTTTGGAGTTCTCAATTGAGCATAATCATAAAAATTATCTGTCTAGGCTGCATCCTTTAAGAAATGTTCATACTTAGAGTAAATAGTTTTATGCAGTGAGGATAACCATGCTTGCACAAATCACAAGCTAATTGTTTCTGACGTGGGCCAATTTTTTAGTGTATATTACTATATGTATCATTCAACATAATTATATCATATAATTCTGGAGTTTTGATCAATGCATAACAATAAAAAATAAACATTTTTCCATTGTTATAATAAGTTTATTGAGGGAATATTTACAATTTGGGTTCATTAAATCAATTATTTGCAGTGGTTTACTTTTTTACTTAGTAGATAACATACTGATTATACCTAGTGCCATAATGTCTTCCATGCACGCGTTTTGAAATTTCGTTTTATAGGCCCATGCAGTTTAGGCCTAACGATCTCTATTGCCGCGTTTACACTATGTGCTTTGACCTGGCCTGGACTAGGCCTAGGCCTATAATTTTATGTGAACGTTGTTTATCCGGCCTAGACCTGGCCTGGTCTTGGTCTAAGCCACAAAATCCAGGCCAACAGCAGAGGATGGCCTGCACCAGGGTGGACCGCTGATCTGTGGCAAGATTTCGGTAATGTGAACGGGCTTTACCAAGACCTGGCAAATTTTGAACTTAATAGTATGATTTGTATAGGATACATATACTATTACCACTTTTCGGCGTGTTTTGGGTCTTTTTCCAAGTATTTTGTCGATTACTTTGGCTATCCGATATCATCAACCTAGACTTGTCCTATAGATTTGGTCCATTAGAAAACACGCTTTTAAACACTGCTGTATAGTATGAAAATAAATGAAGGCACAGACATAATTTTGAAACAATCTAAACAAAATAGTACACCAATTTTTAGCAGCATTTGAGAAGCCACAAATAATGACAATCATACACCCATGCAGTCTTAAAAATGTTTCAACTACAATTCCTGTAAAAATAAAAAGTTTATAGAATAAAGCCTCTTTTATAATTAAAGCAGCTCTCGTTTTGAGGCACTCGACTAGATTTTTCACAAAGAAGTGGGAATTTTGTCTGCGCTGCTCAAAAAATTGCGGGCGAAAAGCTTCTTTTTACAATTTTTATGTTCGAAGTGGGTTTTTTCTGTTTTCAATGTGGCAAGTCAACGAGATTTTGCTAAGATTTTGTTTTCAACAGGCAATTTTTTTAAGTTCAGACCAACGAGTTTGCATTCTTAAACTTTCATCTGGGTCAAGGATAGCCAGACACAATTTTGAGCTGCGAGAAGATGAGGCAAAAC